AAGCATTTGCACCACTGAGCTAAATCCCCAGCCCCCAAGTCTCACCCAAATCTTTAAATGGTTCTCAAAGTAAACATCCTTCCCCCAAAAAATTGCTGGCTTTTACTTCCACTTTTGATCACCTTTATTCTTATTACTTCATGAGTTCTTATATCACTTTTATGAGCTGGGCAGGATCCCGTCCTTTTTTACAGTGAGTTGAGGTCCCAGGGGAGCTTGGCGAATGTTCCAAGTTTGCCCAGCAAACAGTAGTGTGTGCATTGCAGGCCCTATCGAACTTGAGACCCTTGACAATGAACTCTGTGTTCCCTTTTGCAGCATAGTTTGGGAATGCAAACACAAAACAAAACAAAACAATGCCCTTCTTTAATGTAATGTGGCGGAGACTGATGCTTTGTTCATTTTCTCCTTACTTGGTAACAAAGCATCTGATTTTTTAGTAGTTACATGAGCGCCTGGAATCTTTACCTCCATCCCTCAACCTACCTAACAGATAATCTTGGTTATGTGATTAAACTATGGTCAGTGATAGGAAATGGAAGTGATGTGTATCCTGAAAAAGAGAAAACATATCCTTCTGCCTTCCTGCTGGCTGCCATATGGATGTGGTAGCTGGAGTTCAATCAGCCATCCTTCCCTACCCTCCCTGATTCCCTTGGCCCATTCTCCTCCTTTCTCACACATTGCTCTCCTTGGAAGAGCTGCTCACCTGGGGAACTGCAGTCCATACTTGCTCTGTGCTCCAGGATGCATTCTTTCCAAATCTCCTGTGTTCTTCTCCTTTCCTGTCCTCTTCCTTTACAGCACCTAGTCTTTTAGTGTGTATTTCATGCCACGGTTCTTTGTTTAATGTCTGTGTTGGCTCCTGGACATTAGCTCGAGGCACCGAGTGGCCTCACTGCTGTGTAGCCTGACCACACACAGTGCCCACCTGGGGCCGAGGGCAGCTTCCAAAGATGCTGGCAACAGTAGCTCCAATCCCATGCTTTTTCCTGCAGTGTGACTGCCTCTCTCCCATCACAAGGGAGAGTCTACTTCCCTGCCTCTTGGACGTGTCTAGGCCCTGAGACGGCTTTCACACATAGAAGGTGACATAGGCATGACCCTTAATTGGCCTGGCAACTCCTGCTTTTGCCAGGAGAAGTCAGTTGCCACATAAGGGTGTAAGCATACTACAGACACCATAGTGCGCAAAACCCAAGTGGAGTGGAGAAGGTCCAGCGGACAAGACACTACATAGGCAGGGAAAGTCCCAGGAGCACCGAGAGAACAGTCCTGTGAGGGCCCATGAATGTCCAGCTCCAGCTGGATTTGATTGCAACCACATGACTCCCCACATGGGGACTCCCCCCCCCCCCAGCTGATCTCAGCAAAAGCACTAAGCTGCAATCAGTCATAATAAATTGCTTTTATTAAAGAGCTATTTTGTTTTGACGTTGTTCATTTTGCAGCAATTGATAACGTAAACACTGACACATAGCAGGAAGTTGGTATTTGTCCAGTGAATGCATAAATAAATAATGAATCGAGCTTATTCTTTTTATTCTGTGATTGCTGGGGCTGAAGGTCTATAATAATTCTGAGACAGACCTGCAACCAGAATGTCTTGACAGGGAGTGGTCTGGGCTGGGGCCACATTATCTTTTTTGGATGCCTGTGATTCAATCCTTGCAACACTAACCTAGGAGAAGACTTCTGCCGGAGTGGGTCTGGGGGCTGAGGGTGCAGTTTAGGGCACAAAGCCTAGGATGTGGCAGATGGCAGAGAAAGTGACCTTTGCTTCTTGTGGCACACGCCACCTTTGAGACAGGCAGAAGGTAAGCAAGTGTGTGGGGTGCAAGGACACAGATGGGGAAGACACAGTGTGAGCCTGGCAGTGATAGTCTCAGGAGGTGGGGCTCTAAGCAATCTAAGATAGTCTCTTGCTTTTTGTTATTGTTGTTGTTACCAGGGATTGAACTCACAACCTTGTGCTTGGCAGGCAGACGCTTATGGCACTGAGCTAAATCCCTGGCCCCCTAGTCTCTTGCTTTTATTCATCTGTATTTTCTAAACACTTTTCAAAATATGTCTTACTGTTTTAAAAAAAAAAGAAACTATTGACAACACCTCTGCCAACCTACAAACATATACTGAAAACACATGAATAAATACATAGAATAAAAATGAATCAACCAAAAGAAAAAGAAAAAAGAATTATTACTTAGAAACTATTGTTTTGTGAACTTTGCAGAAGGCCCAAACAACCACACCAAATTGAAATAAAATAAAACAAAGAAAGCATCAAGTAACAAATTACATTCTTCTCCTCAACAAATTAAAAATAGAACTATCATGTAATCTGTCAATACTGTAGAGTATATATATCCAAAGAAATGCAATCAGTGTGTTAAAGAGACATCCATATTCACATGTTCTTTGTAAAATTATTCACGCTAGCCAAGACAAGGAAAGAACCTTGCTAGTTTCTATTAAGGTGACAGAAAGAAAATATGGTATATATGCACATCCATAAGGTGGATGAATAAAGAAAATATGGTATATATGTACAAAATATTAGTAAATCATAAAAAAGAAGGCATTTTGCCATTTTCCACAATGTGGATGAATCTAGAGGACATTAGGCTAAGTAAATAAGCCAGGGGCAGAAATATATAAAATGCATGGTCTCTCTTATGTGTGGAATCTAAAATTCCAAGTTTATAGAGGCAGAGAGTTGTCTCAGGTTGTGAGGGGCTGGTGGTGACAGGGTGGGGACAGGGTAAGAGGTCAGATGGTGCGAAGTTTCTGTTGGACAGGACAAGTAAGTTTTAGTGATTTATTCGAGTGACAATGGTTTATAATTTAGCATTATATATCTTTCAAAATTGCTAAAAGTAGATTTTAAGTGTTCGCTCCACACAGAATTGTTAAGTATGTGAAAGGAGAGGTAATCTGACTCAATCATCCCACCATGTATCTATAACGTAACATCACATTGTCCCTAAAATTACATTTTAACCAGCTAATCATTTTATTTTTTTTAGGCTTGAAGGTCATTATTTCAGAAAATACAGAAGTAGGCATAATGGTTGAAGAGAGGGAAGGGATATGGGGAAAAAGAAGAATTAAGATCTATTATGTACAAGGGCTGGGGATTTAGCTCAGCGGCATAAGCGCCTGCCTTGCAAGCAGGCAGTCGTGAGTTCAATCCCCAGTACCGGTACAAAGGAAAAAGACAAAAAAAGATCTATTATGTACAGATACAAATTCCCTATGATGAATGTGATCATTATGTATAGCAAATATATACTAATAAAAGGAGAAATAGGTATATCCCAAATACACCTAAAGGGCAGATGACCTTTACATGGGGTCTGAAGAAGGGTGTGGAGAGAGCATGGCCACTGGTCTCCGTAAAGGTGACCTCTGTGTGAAGTGACCTCACATAAGCCAGGTGCAGAACATCCTTCAATCTGATTGTCCATAGAATCTTGGTTTGCTCAGCTTGGGCCATCAACACCCCAGCTAGCACCATCTTGAACTGATTGTCCCCTCTGATATATAATTATACAGCATTAAGTTGTGCTTTGGAAGCTATTATCAGTTACCATGCTTACAAGTGTGAATAATTACATACTGTATTTAGAGACCAACATGTATTCTGTGGAAGTGTAACCTTTTCCAGTTTTGGGGGAGCGATTTTTAGCTCAGCCAACTCATGAACCACTTAACACTGAATCACCCACAATAATCTTCCCAAAGAGGGTAGCTCAGGATTTGGAAATCTGATGGGGGAGAGGGGAGAGAAAAAATCCAAATAACTAGAAAAAGTAGTCTGGGAAAGGAATTGTTCCATCTCCAATGAAAATCTCTCAGGATTTTCCTGAGGGTAGATTTACAACTGGATTCATTTTATTTAACAGGCATTTATTGACTCCTGCTGTCCGGCAGGAGCTATTTAGGTCACTGGTTACCTGTATCACATGTCATTTACTCACTAAGAATTTAGAGAGTGTTTATTATTTGCCCACCATTGTTCTAGGTTTAGATTCTTGTGTTACATTAACAAACAGAAATCTCTGCTCTGGTGGGGCTTATCATGTAGTGGAAGAATACAATAAATGAAAAAAATATAGTACGTTAGAAGGTAGCACCATGGAATAACTAACACACAGTGAGGGGCATCAGGAGGTGTGTGTGTGTGTGTGTGTGTGTGTGTGTGTGTGTGTGTGTATGTTTTCAGTTTTGTATTATTGAGTACTGTTCTTCAAAAGATATGTGTAAATTCTAACTGTGGTACCTAAAAGTGACCTCATTTGGTAAGTGTGTTTTGCAGATATAATTAAAGTGCTCAAGATGAGACCATCCTGGAGTATTTGAGTAGATTCAGCGTCTTCATCAGAGAGAAGGCACAGAGCGATCAGAGCAGATGGAAAGGCAGGCAGAGATGGCAGTGACAGCCTTACCCCCCCCCTGCCGCAGCCACACTGCCTTTGGGATCCCAAAACACAATGACTGTCTTTGCAGTGGTAAGCTGTGTCACTGTGCTCGTTTAGCAGGTGAGATGGGCTTGAAAGGTTCCTAGACATGTGCATGTGGGGAGTAAGGAGCTGGAATTCAGCTCAGAAACCAGAGGCCATCTTGTGCCATAGCAAACACTTTACTGTCCCAGAACAAGAGGCGGGGCATGAAAAGCAAATGCTGCCCTAATGACACACCTGAGATGCTGCACTTCCTGCCCCTGAGCCCTGCAGGTGCTACATGGGTGACAAAGGACAAGGAGCTGCAGCTGAGCAACCTGAGGTCTCCCTAGAGACCACACTGCAGAGGGGACCAGGTCATACTGTGCTGGGTAGATATTAGGACAGAAGACGTAGCCTGCCCTCCCCAGTGGCACAGGGCTGCTGTCTTCACTGTTATCTGCAAAATGGCCATGGTGACACAGAATTGACCACTGCAAAGACATATACACAGGTTTGTGTTTTAGTAAAACAAAGCAAAACAAAAACCTGTCTATAGTTGCTAAGAAAAAAAGAAAAAGCAAAGACTGAAATATATCTGGTTTCACTTTTGTTATTTACTTTCTTGAGACAAAGTCTTGCCATATAGTTTAGATTCAACTTGCCATCCTCCTGCTTCGGCCTCCTGAGAGCTGGGATTACAGGTGTCCACCACAATTGCCAATGATGTACTTCGTAAAGGTCTGGAAAAGAGGAGCGCAAAGCCTCCCAACATAAGGAAATGTCAAGGAGGTGGACATGCCCATTACCCTGACCGTGCTGTATGCATGTGTTAAACAATCACAATGTACCCCACAATTATGTACACTTACTACATGCTAAAAAACCCAAAAATGCAAAATGTATTATAGCTTCAGCCACCATAGATTTTTAAGTTACTTATAACTGAAAACATTCTGAGGTGGTACAGTAACCCTGTATCTAACATTCCCTTGCTGCCATTGTCTTTTCCCGTGTGACAAATTCGGCTCTTCCCACTGCAGACTGGTTCATCCCCTCCTTTTGTGTCTCAGTGGAGAAGACTTGCTGCTTACTGTCTTTGCAGAGTTAAACCTGCTGGCTCTGTGAAGGCTCCTGTTGAGAATTAACTTGGCTCATTCACAATCCGGTTTATGAGACCTGTTTAATCTATCTTTAGCTGTGATGGCAGGAATGTCACTGCGTTGTCAGAACTCCTGGTGGCTTCCCGTGGCCATCTCCAGCCAACTGAGATGCCAGCCAGGGATTAGCAGCCATCGCTGCAGAAGGGTCAGGGGCTGAGTCTCTGCTCTGCTTCTTGGCTCCATTCAGCGGCTCATCCTCTTGCCTTCCCTCTCCAACCCCTGGATTCTCAGGCAGCTGTGAGTTTGCACCATTTGACTGTAAACAGAGGAGCAAGAAAAACCCAGCCATTCTCAGCCACAGTGACTATAATGACGGATTATATGAATCAGCTTGGCTGGGCCACAATGCCCAGGTAATGTACTCAGACATTATTGTGGGTATTTCTGTGAGGATGTTTTGGGATGCGATTCACATGTAAGTCAATGGGCTGCAAGAAAAGATGATTGACCTCCTTTAGGCAGGTGGACCTCATCCCTCCACTTGAAGGCCTGACCAGATCAAAAGACTCACCTTCTTCAAGCTGGACAGAGCTCTGGAGTAGGTGGCCTTTAGATTTTGGACTCCATCCATTGGCTCCATCCTCGATCTCCAGACTGGTGGCCAATGCTACAGATTTTGAAAGGCAAAAGTTACTGTAATTGTGTGAACCAATTCTTAAGAAATCTCTCAGTCCCCCTTCTCTCATGTATATAGTGGTCTCCCTTTAGCCAACAAGGATTCTTTCCAGGAGCCCCCATGAATGCCTGAAACCTCAGAGAGTACTGAACACTTCACAGGCACAGAATCCTTAGTCTTCCAGGGACCATCCTAGGATTCTCACAGACACCAAAATCCACAGATGCTTGATTTCCTTTTATAAAATGGCATAGTATTTGTATGAAACCTACATACATTCTTCAATATACCTTAACTATCTCTAGGTTACTTAAAATATCTGATATAACATAAACACCATGAAAATAGTTATAATATTGTTTAGGGAATAATGACAAGAAAAAGTCTATACATGTTCAGTGCAGACATAATGTCTTTCGCAAATATTTTCAGTCTTCTGTTGGTCTAATTCACAGACATGCTCCAGTGAACGCTTAAGGCAGTTGGAACTAGTTTTCTCCCTATGTATATATACCTATGATAAAATTGAGTTTATAAATTCATCACGAGAAATGAATCCTGACTACTAATTAAGTAGCACAATCATGACAGTAAACTAATAAAAGTTGTGTGAATATGGTCTCTCTCTTTTGCTCTAAATGTTCCATTATACTGTTTATATAGTTTGTTTGGTTGGTTTTTGGTTTGAGACAGGGTCTCACTATGTAGTTAAGGCTGGTCTTGACCTCACTATGTACCCAGGATGGTCTCAAACTTGCAATGATCTTTCTTCCTCAGCATCTCACGTGCTGTGATGAAGGCATGTGCCACCATACCCAGGTGTACCTGCTCTTCTTGTGATGATGTACAATAATGTGATGCCTATGGGAGCTGCAGTGAGGTGAATGATAGAAGCATTGTGATGTAGCGTTAGGCTACTACATGAATGTCACTTGGCACAACTACTCCACTGTGACAGTTGATCTCATAACCGGGACAACTACTACACGACTAATGGGTGAGTAACATATGTAGCATGGATATAGTGGACCAAATGATGATTCATGTCTTGAGCAGAATGGAGTGCAATGGTGTGAGAGTACATCACTCTATGCATAATGGTGTGCAATCTAGAACTTATGAATTTTTTATTTCTGGAATTTTCCATTTAAAAAATTTGGATCATAGCTGTTGGTCATGGTTAACTGAAATGTTGGAAAGTATAACCAAATCATGGTGGGAGGTGATTCTCTTTCTCTCTCTCTTTCTCTCTCTCTCTCTCTCTCTCTGTGTCTTTCTCTGGAAAATCCTGTCAATTACAATTACTTAGACCAATTTTGTGTTTTTATTTTAGCTTTATATTGTGGCAATTTGTAAACTATACAGAAATAGACAAAATAGTATTATGACCCCCATGATCCTTGCATTTGTCTTCAACAATAATTAATTCATGACTTCTGTGTCCCTTGTTATATTCTCCTTCCATTTAACTGCCTCCTGGGTTATTTTGAAGCCAATTCCAGATTTCATATCTTTTCATCTACACACATTTATTGTGAAGCTCTAGAAGATAATGATGCTTTAAAAGATGACCACAAGACCATTAGCACACTTAAAAGTAATTCTTTGATATCCAGTCATTCTCAAATTTCCACACTTATGTTTTTAAAATTGATTACAGTATGTATTATTTTTAAAAAGTTAATACAAAATTAGCAGTACTCATGAAAGAACGTTTGGAAAACATGAAAAAGCTCATGGAATAAAAATTAGCAACACCCACAATTGTTGGGGCAGATGTCAGCCAACACAGTGCCATTGTACTAGTAGAAAAAAGACCTTTCCAGAAGGCACAGCCCGTGCCAAGATGCCAGCCACTGTCTGTCCCTGCCAGCAAATGCCCTTGTGCCATGCACAGAGTTGGCCACCATGTGCTCACAGCTCTAAGTGTTCCATCATTATTTACATTTTGGAATACAGACATCTAAATTTTCTATGGATATATACATAATTTTGCATAATTGTTTTCATACTGTACATTCTGTTTTGTAAGCAGCTTTTTTCACTTAAGAGCAGACTATAAACATTTTCCTACACCATATTTGCTTCCAAAGCATGGCTTTCTGTGGCTCTATAGGGGTGTAGTGTATGACTTATCCCACCGCCATGGCCAATTATTTAGACCTATTGGCCTGAGAGTGAAAAGCCTGCCTTTGTAGATAAAACAAAGGCAAGAACACTGTGTACTTCTTGGTAGGAACATTAAAACATGCAGGGAAATTTCTATGCATGCATTGCATGATCACAAGGCTTTAAATTGTTTCCACCCGTCTATTTGGAAAGAAAGCAAAGGTATGGTTCTGTTTTGCTCAATTTATGCCTTGGAGGGTAGCAAGAACTGTCCCTGGGTATGTTTAGATTCTCAGCTCTCGCGTAGTAAACAAGAGGCTTCAATGAAGAGAAGCAAGTCAAGAAAGATGGGGACATGCTTAGGAGGACAGTTATTCCCAAAATTATGCAACGAGGACATGTGGGGTTTGGGAAACTAACCATAACTGGTGTATGGAACTGACAGGCGGCAACAGGGTTGGGGTTCCCTGGGACTGGCGTTTCTGGGTTATAGGGCAAGAGCACAGCCATTGCTGGATGCAAAAACCACCTAATTGCTTTATAAGACACAGCATCATAGACTCAAGGAGTTCGGCTAATGGATTCTCGGAAAATTGCCAGTTCATAATCTCCACCTCTTGAAAGCTAGGATAAACACTGAGGTCAGTTGTGAAGTGACCATTTGCCCAAACCCACAGCCCAGTCAACAGGAAGGCTAAGCTGGTGTTTTCTGTGCCAGCTCTTATCATCTTTACTAAGTTCACAAAACTAAATGCCTCAATTTAATGCAGTCATTGGGAGAGGGTAGTCACGAGGCAGATGTAAATCAAGAATTCCTAACTCCAGAGGCCATCTGAAGGATCACGGAATTTCAATAGCTTAAAACCTCTCAGACGGGCAGGACCCTTACATGCAGATCATCAGAATTACATTGGGCAGTGAAGGAAGCAGCTAAGAGGAAAAATCACTCTCGTTTTACATCAATCCACAATGTAATTTATAAAATAATAAGGAGCCCATATCATTGGGCTTTGCCTGGGTGCTTTTCTCAGGGTAAGAAAAGGGATTGAACATCAGATCCTTTTCAAAGGTGATTTGCATATTAAATGTAACCTGGTAGCTGCTTCTTAATACCAGATCTACAGCAAGTCATTTCTGGTGCCTTTAAGGAACCACATTCTCCTCTAAAATTTCACCTAATTGTTGTACCAGAATCGCTATTGGATGGTATATTAGTTTCTTGGGATTGTTGTAAGAAAACACCATAAACTGGATGCCATGAAACAATAGAAAGTTTTTTTCTCTCGCAGTCTTGGGGGTTAGAAGTCTGAAATCAAGGGCTTGACGGGGCCCCGCTTCCTCCAGAAAACCTAGGAGAAGATCTTTTCTTGCCCTTTGGAGTTTATGGTGGCTTCATCCAAATGTCCCTTGCCTTGTGGCTGCCTGACTAGTCTCTGCCTCCATCTTCACATGGCCTTCTTCCCTCTGAGCATGTCAAATTTCCCTCTTATTATGAGAACACCTGTTGTAATGGACTAGCACCCACCCCAATGGCCTTATCTCAATTTGATTATATCTGAAGATTCTGTGTCCAGCTAAGGTCATATTCACAAGTTCTGGGGGTTAAGACTGCAAAATATCTTTTGAGGGGTTAAGACACACTGCAACCCATAATGGTTGGAAAGTCAAAAGTCTAAAATTATAGATCCAACTATATCACTCATACCTGTGATTTTGAGCTAATGAGAACCCAGGTCCCCTCATTTGTACCCACAGACACTCTCATGGCCTGCAGATTCAATGCTGTTTGAATACATGGCTAGGCTCTTTCAGATCAAAGGGAACAGACCCCCAGTGAAAAGAATCAGCCAAAATAGGATAGCATGGCAACTCTGAACAACACCAGGACCAGAGCGGAGGGCTGTGTGTGTTCCATCGGGGCAGATTCAGTGTGTAGAGTGTAGGTTGAAGGGTACCAGCCCCCCTCTCGTCCCTCCCTGACAAGTCCGTCTGTGGTGCCAGCAACCAGTCATAGGCTAAAGAGCAACCAGCAAATCACCATATTCCTCCCCTAGGCCACTTAGGTTGCCAAGCCCTGGTACAGAGCACAGGACAATTGGTCCCAAGGCCCAATGAGCACAGTGAATGGCTTTGGCTTCCAAAGCTCATCATGGAACTAGCACCAGCATATGAGACCTGGTTGGCTTTGGACAACCAGTGTAATCAGCCCAGACTAAATATGCCTCGCCTGGTCCAGCTTAAATATTTGGACAGGCACAGTGCACGTGTGCAGAGGCCATAAGTGGGTGAGAGGTTTTTAGCCCTGGGTGAGACTGAAGGGACTTGACATGTTATTGAATGGAGGGCTGCAGAAGGTGAAGCCAGGGCTGCTACACATTCCAGGAATGCGGATGGAGCACTCTTACTGTGTATCTGAGGCTGACAGGGTCTGACAGTCCTCATCTGGGAACAATAATCGCGAGCTGCAGGCCAGGCGTGCAGAGGCTGCTCTGTCTCCCTGCAGCCTCTGCTTCTTTTGCTTTGCTGTGTGCTGCGGGATGGGGCAGTTGGAGACGGCAATGTGCATCCCGCCTCCCCCCGCAGAGTCCTGGGGTCCCAGAGAAGCAGGACTGGGCCAGCCCCCTGAATGCCTGCCATTCCAGGAGCAGCGGGCTGAAGACACAGCACATCTGCCTCCCTGGGAGAGCTGAGTGGAATGCCACAGCAAGGCAATTTGGGATGCCAGCCGATCACCCAGCCGGCTGCTGGGTCTCCTTCCATGAGGCAGCAGGGAGGCCAGCGGTGGCAATGTGTTGATGTCACGTTTAATACCCCAGGCTTTCTTTGTTCGCCTGGAGGAGGGTGCTTTCATCTGTGAAGTTCAAAGCACCGTTCACAAACTA